ATAATTTTATTTGTCATATATTGACAACCCCTTGTTTGTTATCATGCTTTGATGAGACTTGTTTAGAGATGTTCAAAACTTATAATATTCCATCGCGAGTAACTTACATTATGTGTACTCCTAATCGTGCGGTTAAAATATTGCAAATGATCACAGGTAATGACACTATATTTCTCGCTGGAAACTTGGTAGAGCTAATGTCAAGAATAGATATAGTTTCTCTTCCATCCAACAAACTTAAAATAACATTTAATAATTTCATCGAATCAATCATTTCTCTATTGCAACATTGTCAAAATTTTGTTTCTACTAAACAATCTAATACCCATTATCAATATCATCCTATCTTCACTTGGTATTCCGGAACAACTGATCCAAACATTTCGACATCTCATTTCAATAGATTAATATCACAACTTGAATATTTATGGCAGAAACCATTCTTACTTCGATCATTCAATCACATCTTGAATTTTAAATTCGACTCTCAACTTAATAATAATCTCGACTCTTCCAATAAGTCATCGCAGAAAAAAACTTTAGACGACAAAAAGTCAAGTTTAGCTTCTAGTCAGATGACTCTTTTAGCTGTTGATACTCAAGATGTTTGTCGACTTTATCTTATGCTCTCAAAATTACTTAACATGCAAAAACATGATATCATGATGAATTTGACTTTCATTCCACGTCTTGTACCTGCCCTATGGCAGTTTATGATGTGTTTAGGCCCTAAAGGGCGAATGAAAATTTTTTTATCTGAAACTGTAATTAAAAATCCTGAAAGAGAACCACTAATCGGGATTTTAGAGTTATTTTGCGAATCTTGTGGTATATTGTTATTGTTAGTGTAAATTTTTTATTGTATAAAATGAGTTCGCCAAATAATTTTAATTTATCTAATGAAAATTCTGTTTTTAATAGAACCATAGATGATGACGAATTATATGAAATGCAGACTTCTTTTTCAATTGAACGTGATTTGAGACCTATGGCTACATTCTTTAATAAATTTTGCTTCGCTCTTCTTAGTAATTCTCCACCCGATGGTAATCCTCCCGCAATATTTGAATCTGCACGAAGAGTACTTCTTCAATTGCATTCGCGAGATACTAGGCGCATATTTACTAGCCCAGATCATACATGGCTTCTTATTAAAGATCCAAAAAAATCTTTACCATTATCTTTAGCAAACTTTCTCAAAAAATCATCTATAGTCAATTCCAATAATTTGGGAACTTCATTTTTAGAAAGAATCCGTAATAATGATCCTATTTCTGTAAAAATTCTAAATCTATTGCCTCATACTATTCCTTTTGAGACCAGACTCGATATATTTCGTGAATCTGGTGATTCTTTTATCAGTGATTGGTCGGATATTGTAATCAAGGTTAGACGCGATCATGTATTAGATGATGGATACAAGCAATTAGGAAGATTGACTGCAACGCAGATTAAAGGCCAGATTCGAGTTATGTTTGTAAATGAAACTGGTAATTTTAATGCAGTTAATGTCCATCCATAATGGAATACCTTCATGTAAGAACACAATTTAATTATAAATTGTAATTATTATAGGCGTGGATGAAATTGGTGTGGATCAAGGAGGTCCATTCAAGGAATTTATTACTCAACTTATAGCTGAAGGTTTGTATATATCAAGTTCATTTTGGTAATTGATAATTAACGTGATGAGTAATGCTTAGTATATTAAAAATAATCAAATATAGCTTTTGATCCAAAATGCGGTCTTTTTGCTGTCACACCTGATGGTTCTCTTTATCCCAATCCCCATAGTGCAGCTTCAAAATTACCATTATATACATTTTTGGGCCGAATGATTGCAAGAGCAATGAAAGAAAAAATTTTATTAGATTCCCAATTTGCAGAATTTTTTTTAAGCAAGATTTCTGGGCGAGCTGTATTTTTAGAAGACCTTATTGGTTGGAATAATGAATTATGGAAAAATTTAATATTTTTGAAGAGATATGAAGGTGAGGAAATATATATTTTTATATTAGTCCCATCTTTTAAAAAAAAAATTTAACTAATTTTGGTTTCGTATTTAGGCAATGTTGAAGATTTGGGTTTATATTTTGTAGTAGATGAAGAGATCAATGGACAGATTAGATCAAAAGAACTTAGAGCAGTATGTGCATATGCTTGTATGTACGAATATTTTAAAATTATGCTAATATGTTTTTGATATAGGGTGGTTCACACATGGCTGTTACAAATTACAACAGAATTCAGGTTTGAACATCTCTAAACAAGTCTCATCAAAGCATGATAACAAACAAGGGGTTGTCAATATATGACAAATAAAATTAT